AAGCCAGAAAGCCCAAGACCAGCCCATCGGAACGACCCGCAGGAACGGCCACACCCAGCCCCCCGAGGGGCCCTCGGGAGTGTCCACTGCCTCAGCCCCCCATTGCGACAACGAAGCCTGCGACACCGGAGGCAGCGAGAAGAACAGTCCCAGCTCCTCCCTCAGGCCGGGAGCGTAGAAGTAGTTGCGCACATCAGCCTGGGCGCAGAAAAGCTTGGTGCTGAAGCTGCCGTCCTCCTTACGATCATCAGGTAGCTGAAGGCAACCGTACGCAGCCGATGTCCCCATGGCCAGCGGCGGCGGGTCGCGAAAACGTCGATTTGGCACTCTAGCGCCCCACACTAGACGCTGCGCTCCACTCTTCTTGGCCACGAAAAAAGGGGGCGACTAAATCCTTCGGGCGGTGCGTGAAACCCAGCATGTTAGCCTTCACCAGGTCGCCGATGAAAGTGTGGTATGCCACAGGGTCACGCTTCAAAACTTCGCCCATGTAGGGAGTGACGGGCGGCTCGCTCTCCAAGACGCGGGACCACTCGTCAGGAGTCTTCATCATCGCTTGCTCGTAGTCCAGCACGTAGCTCCTCCCGATCCCGTCGAGCACCGACTCAACAGGAGGTATGACCGCACCCACTTCTGGGATGTCGACTCGGGATCTGACGTACCTTACCACGGGACTCGGTGCCTCGTCCGCGGCGTAGGACAGGCTGGAGGCCAGGAGCTCCTTCGCGGCTCCACGGCGAGAAAAGTGAGTGTCAGACTTCGGGGCCATCCTGACCTCGTTCAAAATGGTGGCGGTAGCAAGCCGCTGAGCCGCCGTGATGGGCCCACGCTGCTCGCACGGAGGATGGAGAGCGTTGAGACCCGCAATGGCATCATTGGCACACTGCTCCGTCTGCCGCCTATGGGCCAGCCTTCGCCTCGTCGACGTAGACGCTGGCGCAGAAGTAGGCGGAGTCGGCTGAATGGAGGGCAGCGGGAACAGATCACGCTGGCGATCGTCCGCTGCACTCAGCCCAGGAGGGCGTCCCATGTCACTCGATCCTCGGACGGTCGATACCTCGAGATCTCCGAAGCCTGCCCTGGCTGGAGGGCGTGAGGTGCGTGCCGCTGGGCCCCCACGGCCACAGTCGGTCGGTACCCCACGACCCTCAGCGCCAGGAGCAGTGCGAGGTCGGAAGGTGCGTGCCGCCGAGGCACCACAGGCCTTGCGCACGTCGCGGGCCGGCCAGCCCCCGCGACTGGGAGCCGTCATGATCCCTGCCCGCCAGTACCGCTGGCGTCGGTCCTGCCGCCCCCCTTGCCGCGGCGCAGCTTCTGCTCCCCCTTCGCCTTGCGAGCCTCTTTGAGAATCGCTGCCCTGTCGCGCATGCCCGCGGCCACGTGGCGCTGCAGGTCGGGCGCGACGGCGGCGCCCTGGCGATGCGTGGCCCAGCCCATGAACTCATCGGCCGCGGAGTAGTCTGGGTTCGAGGGAGAGGCCGAGTGAGCATCCTCGATGACCTGGATCCTGCGCACGACGAGCTCGGCGCTCTGGAGCGCAGGGGCGTTGAGCTGGTCCACGGTCACGATTGCCTCCAGCACATGGCACAGCACCTCGTGTTCGTGAACTGAACGATCTCCATCAGGGATGCGAGCCGACCTCAGCCAGTTCGAGTGGTGAGTGACTGGCGTGAGCCCGGCATCCCGATACGACCTCAGCACCCAATCCGTAGTGCGAGGGCCCTGCAGCATGATGCCGCCCTCAGGCTCATCCACGATCTGCATGTCCACGGCCTCGCTGTGTGGGCGACGGCGCGCCCCCTGCTGGTTGAAACGCACAGGCAGCACGCGTAGGTCGTCCACGACGAAGGCGTCCACGTCGGCTAGGGCCACCTGACGCGCTCCGACGAAGCCCCCTCCATGAGGCACCAGCGCCAGCTCCCCGTGTACGACGGCGCCCTGAGGGAGAGGATCAGGCATCTGCTCGCCGCGCCGCATCCCCTGGAAGTCCTCAATAGCCAGCCACACTGTGCCAGCCACTGCGGGGGCGGCCGCGGCCCCAGCGCGGGGGACCCCTCCCACCACGCCAGCGCCTCGAGGCACAATGGCCCCCTGTGGTGCGGCCGCCGCGAGGGGAGCCGCCACGGGCGCCGCTGCGGCGGCAGGAGCAGCGGCAGCAGGCGGCGCCACCCCCCCGACAAGGAGCGAGCCCTCGCGGATCAGCTGCTGGACCTCGGCCGCCGTCGGCACCTGGCGGAAGCGGTAGACGTGGGCGGGGTTGACCCCAGGGGGGGTGGCGCCATGCGCTCCCGACCACCGCACATCTCTGAGGTCGTCGGACGTCGTGTACTCTGCGTAGTGGTCCCCATCTGGCGAGTACGTGCTGACAAGACCTGGATCCCCGATCGAGACCCCTGTCACGAGCCTCTCATGATACACCGGCGCTCCAGGCAGGTCATACTGGAAGAGCACGTAGTCACCTACTCTCGCCATTGCGCCTCCTGATCAGCTGCAGCTGCTCTCGCGCTCGATCTCCCACCCCTGTCGCCTCGGCGTCGACGCGGCCGCCCCGCCGCCAGACTGCGCCGCCCAGCCCGAGCCCCGCAGAGACTCCCGCCAGGTATCCCCAGCAGGCCGAGGGAATGTCGAGCCCGTCAGGGACGAGCTCAACTCCTGCAGGCGGGCAGGAGAGATTCACCAGCGGCACGGGGCACGCTGGGGTTGGGCAGGCCAGCGCTGGGCAGACCTGGACGGGGCACGAGACGTTCGCGGGCGGGCACGCCAGCGAGACCGCGGGGCACTGGGGCACCGCCGAGATCAGGGACTGGCGCAGCGCCAGCAGCTCGAGAGCACGGATCCCTGCAGACTGGAAGGTCTCGATGAGGGCGGACTGCGCCCCCATCAGGGAAAACCACTCCTGGAAAAAACTTGAGCATAAATACAACATACGGCACTGAACGCAGCAAGAAATCATTAATGTGCAAGCACAACGCATATATAGACATACTATAACTCATCATAGCAAAGAGGAGGCGTCCTGGTATGACTACCGAGAACCCCATACTGAAGATATGGGGACCATCGAATTCGACAAACCACGAACATGCTTGCCTTCTACTTCTACGAGCTTGGCCTCCCGCGAGCCCAGAAGAGGCCTCCGGAGAGCTCGCCTCCGCCCCCCCTCGGCCCTTGAAGGTCGAGGGGGGGGGGGGGCGGGCCGGACACTGCTGGCCCCTTGTCGGGCCTCCGAGGGCCTCCGGAGGCCGCCGGGGACCTCCAGGGGCCCCGGGGCACCTCGGGGGGGTCAGAGCGTGGTTTCCTTTAGACCCAGGCAAGTTTACTTGCATGGACGGGGGGGGAGGGCTGAGTCTGAGGCAAGCCGAAAACAATTCGACGTGCGGAAATCACGCAAGTCGAAAGGCACTTGCACGCTCGTGTTCGATTGAAGAGGGGCGAGGGGGGAGAGGGGGGGGGGGGGGGCGAACGCCATGCAAGTAAGCTTGCCTGGATCTAAAGAAAAAAACAGGCTCCCTCCAGGGGCCCCGGGGGACCTCGGGGGGGTCGGGACCCAGGGCGGGAGCCAAACTTGCCAACATCCGCTGGTCCGCCCAAGGCCTGCGACGGTCATGCTGCTTCTTCTGCCGCCGGTTTCTCCGCGATCTCGGCCTCCGGGGCCAGTTGTCGGGCCCCAGGGCCATCAAGGACGGAGCCGCGGCGAGACGCTGGGCCTGGGGGATCTCCCCGTCGCTCGGACGTCCGTTCCCTGTGTTTTTTTGGTTTCGTGCGTGGCTTGTTCCGCAGGATGCTCCAGGATGCTCCACAACAATCCCCGCCGAGAAACAGTGCCCATGTCCGAGCGATGCCAAGGGATGTGTCGGGACCTCTGGGGCCGTGCACTCGAGATCCGACGTTGCGACCAGAGCTGCCACACCGCATTAAAAACCAAGACCAGGGCCCCAGCCGCGCAGGGAACAGATCCGCTGCAGCGTCGGACGTCCGGGGCCCTGGGGGCTCCCCCCAATTCCCCTGGGAAGCGCCACGAGCACGCGCCACTTGGGCCGGAGCCTCCACCTCCTGATCATCCTCCTGCCCCTCCTCCTCCTCCTCCTTCTTTTCCTCCTCCTCCTCCTCTGGTCGCTCGTGAGGGAGGGAAGTCGTCTTCCCCCGTCTTCATAATTACGTCACTCCTTATCACCGACCTCTCCCTCCCCCTCCTTCCCAGCCCTCCTCCTCGTGGCGACGATCCCAAAATGGCAGCCCCGGCTGAAGAGATCCGATGGGCACGCTAAAGCCGCACCATTTGAACTCCTTGTGGGACTCTCGTTGGGCGCTGGCTTTTAGCTGCAATTGTAGGGCGCCGCAGTAATGAGGCCCCAAGGACGGCGCATATTATACAAGATTGGCGCTGCATGCGGCTGGTCTGGCTGGTGCTCGGGCACGGTGGATGGTGACAGTCTGCCCGAGATTCCGCCGCGCTGGCGCCAGGCGAACTAGAGAGAGTGCGGAGGAGGACGAGGAGGGGGGCGACGGCGAGGAAGAGGAGGAAGGCGACGAGGTGGCGGAGGATGAGGAGGAAGAAGAGGAGGAGGAGGCGTGTGTTCGTGTCGTGCGTGCGGGCGATGCGAAGCTGCGTGGGCGCGCGAGGGGAATGACCCTGCCGTCCCTAGGGCGATTCGGATGCAGTGGACCGCCCCTCCGCCCCCCGCGGGCGAGAGGTGGCCCGGGGTGTTCCGCCGTGGTGTCCCGTGGGCCCCCCAGCCTCCTTATAACCCGAAGGGTGGTCGTGCATTAACGGGCGAAGAACGGTATAACATAAACTTTTTCGCTGTCGGGGCGCCTGTCCCAGGGCGGCTGGAAAATTTATACCCTTACGGTGGCACCGTAGGGGTATAAACTTTCCAGCCGTCCAGGGACAGGCGCCCCCCGACAGCGAAAAAGTTTATGTTATACCGTTCTTCGATCGCTGAGTGTAGGGAGTTATGATATAAGAACGAGAGTGAAGAGCAGAAGGAGGAGGACTCCTCTGCGTCGGCCCCATATGCCACTGCAGAAGCGATGCCCAGGAGGGAGCCCAGGGCAGTCGCGGCCGCGGCGCCGGGGCTGTACGCGGCGATGCCGGCGAGCATGAGCAGGCCGGCGGCCGGGCTGTCCTGGGACGAAGGGGGCCGTCCTACTCCCCCTCCTCCTCCTCGTCCTTCTCTTCCTCCTCTTCCTCCTCCTCCTCCTCCCCAATCCTCCAACTCCTCCTCCCCCTTGCCCTCCCTTTCCTCCTACTCCTCATCCTGCTCTCCCTCCTCCTGCCCCTCCTTGGTCCATGCTCCGTCTCCTCCTCCTCCTCCTCCTCCTCCTCCTCGTCCTTCTCTTCCTCCTCTTCCTCCTCCTCCTCCTCCTCCTCCTCCCCAATCCTCCAACTCCTCCTCCTGCTCCTCCCTCCCTCCATCCATCCATCCTCACCTCAATACTCCTCCATCCTCCACCGTCCTCCTCGCCCGCCCTCTCCCCCTGCATCCTCCTACATCCTCTTCCTCCTCCTCCTCCTCCTCCTCGTCGTCCTCCTCCTCCTCTCCCATCTTCTTCCCCCGCCTCGCCAACCCCACCCAATCTTCTGCGCACCGCGCCCCCCCTCTGACCCTGACAGCCGGCGATGTGACCCTTGCCCACCCGCAGCCCGCAGCCCCAGAGGTCTGGACCGCTTCCCTGGGGGTCAATGTTTGACGGCCCCAGGGCCCGAAAACGGCCGCCGAGGGTCGACATCTAGGAGACCCCGCCCAGAGAAAGCAAAATCACACCGTCGGAGGTCTGGGGATGTTCACGACGATTAGCTGGGACACGCCCACGAGCGCGGACCCTGTCGGGATGTGGGAGGCGTCGTCGTCATCGTCGTCGTCATCGTCGTCGTCGTCGTCGTCGTCGTCGTCGTTTTTTCAGGGTCGGCGGCACCGGCCGTAAGGCCTTCGCAATCACACTGCCGGACATCCGGGGAGGTCCACGACGAATATCTGCGACACGCCCACGAGCGCGGACGTGAGCCACTCCTCCGGGCCCAGCGACGAGGCGGCCGCCACGGCCGGCGCCGCCTCGCCCTCCTCCGCGGGGCCGGCGTCGGCCAGCGGCCGCACGAACAGCAGCAGCGCGAGCGCCGTGACGTTGAACGCCAGCGTCCACTGCGGCACCGGCGCCGTCAGGGCCCCCAGCCGGGAGGCCAGCAGCGCGGAGGCTGCGCCGCCGAGGCCCGTCGCGACCTGACTCGGGGCCCCAAAGCCGCGCGGTGGTCTCGGAGTCCCCGACGACCTCACCGCGCGGTCCGTCGGCGCACGGCTTTGGGGGGCCTCGGAGGCCCCCGCCGCACGAGACTCCTTCGGAGAACGACCCGAGTCCCAAAGCCGTGCGGCGGCCCCGAACCCCCACCGAAACCCCACGCGGTGTGGTCGCCACACCGCTTGGGGCCCCCGACCCGAGACGAGGTCACGAGACCCGGGGAGACACTGTGGCCCTGGCGTCCTGGCCACGAGATCGACACCCTCCATGAGACCCCTCCTGGCCGCCTCAGACAGGCGCCGCCCAGACAGGCGCCTTCCGGCGCGCTCCGGGGCGCTCCGAAAGAGCGTCCCGGAACGCTCTGCACGGAGCAAGAGGTGCCTGTTTTTCTTTGGATCCGGGCAAGTTTACTTGCATGGACGGGGGGGGGCTGAGTCTGAAGCAATCCGAAAACAATTCGACGTGCGGAAATCACGCAAGTCGAAAGGCACTTGCACGCTCGTGTTCGATTGAAGAGGGGCGAGGGGGGAGAGGGGGGAGGGCGAACGCCATGCAAGTAAGCTTGCCTGGGTCTAAAGAAAAACAGGAGTCGCCCCGGTCCTGGGCCCGCCCGGCCCGGCGACCAGCGTCGGCTCCGCGGCCGCGCCGAGGAAGACGGAAAAGGCGCAGCCCACGAGGGCGCCGTTGTACCTAGCAGAGGTCTCCGAAGTGGAGTCTGAGCATCGGTCGGTCGGAGCATCGCGCCGCATCGCCGATGCATCGGGGGTACCACCAGCACCGTCGGCATGGAGAGCCTCGGGTTCCACACCGAGCCGCATCGCGGATGCATCGGCGAAGCGACGCGATCCTCCGACCCCATCCCCTGAGATCCGACGTTGCGAAAGAATTGAGGACGCGGCGCGGGAAAGTACGGCAGGAGCCCTGGACCCCCTCTTCCTGCGGCGCTGGATGAGCCGACTCTGCACGTGATGCATCTCGGGGCCCGACGCCGGGGGCGCCGGGGCCCGGCGCGAGAGACTTGCAACGCCCGGGTCGCAGGGTCTAACAGGCACCCCTTTGGGGAGGCCTGGAGCACCCCAGCAGGCCGTTCTTGATGGCCTCGGGGTAGACCCCGTGAGCCCCAGGCTGCCGGAGACCCTGCCCAATGCCCTAGGCTAGCCGAGGGTAGGCCTCACCCAGGGCCTTAGGGTAGCCTTGGGGTTCAGTCGGGTACGTCCTCTACAGGAGGAATATTCAAAAATAGGTGAAAAATGGAATGGGGAC